TCCTCCCTCTCATGCTCTCTGTCTCTCATTCTCTCTCTCTCAAATAAATAAATAAAATCTTTAAAAAAAAAAAAGAGCTATGAGAGTTTTAGTCAAAGATTGTATAGAATCATGGTCTGTATGCTGACAGAAAGTTATTGCTTAAAACTCTTATTTCTTTGTTGGGATTTCTGGATTCACCATGGCATTTATTGATTTAATGAACTGAGTTCTTTTTCTTTTTAAGATTTTATTTATTTTATTTGAGAGAGAGAGAGTGCACACGGGGGGAGGGGTAGAGGGACAAGCAAACTCTGCACTGAGCAGAGCCCAACGTGGGGCTCCATCTCACGACCCTGAGATCATGACCTGAGCCAAAATCAAGAGTCAGCTGCTTAACCAACTGAGCCACCCAGTTGCCTCTTAATGAACTGTTTTTAAGGGACAATTATGTTCCCTCCAAAAGAGAAGTAAAAACCAAATATTCTCTATATCTCTCTCATCTTAAACTGACAGTATCATAGTCAAAAAATAGTAATAACATTTTCAAGAGGTGCCTGGGTGGTGCAGTCGGTTAAGGGACCAACTCTTGGTTGCTCAGGTCGTGATCTCAGGGCTGTGAGATCAAGCCCTACTTTGGGCTCAGCGCTGAGCCTGCCTGAGATTCTCCCTCTCCCTCTGCTACCCCTCTGCTAGTACTCTCTCTCAAATAATGAATAAATCTAAAAAAAAAAATTTTTTTTATATACAACTTTTGTGTTTTAGACTAACCCATAGAAATAAGGCATAATGATTAGTTCTAAGGGTTAGAGGACCTGCCTAGGCTTGTTCCTATAAAGACAAATTATACACAAGTAAATATTGATATAAAAGCATTAACATTTATTTCTCTTTAGATCCTCCTCTGATAATTAGTTCCCTCCAACATTCAAAACTCCTTTTATTTAATCTTATTAATCATTTTATAATTCCTAATAATAGTTTCAGAAAACAGTGATTTCAACCAAGAAATATATCCCAATGTCTAGATGACTTAGTTTTTATAAATCTCATTGCCCAGGTAACTATGTTAATTAAATACAACTTCCAGTATGTGAAATTAAATTTCAAAATTAAAACAATTTTTATCACAAACATTTGGTGCCACATTTTATAAACAACTTTTCATCAAAATCAAACCTACGTATTCTGCCTTGGGATAAATCACAGTATCCCTCTGGTCTGAAACATTCAATTATCTTCTGTTTCCTCTTTCTTTTTTCATTCATTTATTCATTAAATATTTATTGAGCACAACCATATCTATGTATACCCCACAGTACCTAACAATATATATAAGTCATATAAGAATGCAGTCAACTTACAGCTAGAGACTAAAAAGGGAAAGAAGACATTTTCATTATTACCTCCAATAGCATAAACCATCCCTCCCAGAACTGCGACTCCCAGCCCACATCGAGCCTGATGAAGTGAAGACACAGTGGTCCAGTACTGGCTAAAGGTGTCAAAACGTTCTACACAGCTGAGGGCTCTGCTATCACTCCAACGACCCCCCTGCAACCGAGTATATCCACCTGAATGAAGGAAAGGAGATACACAGCAAATCACTTACTGCTAAATATGGAAATGACAGTAATGAGAAAAATCTAGCCCTCTACATCTAGACATTCAGCCAATAACTATTTCATAGCCGGGAACAAGTGCTTTAGAGTCTGCCACATATACATATATTATTCTTAAATACGCCAAGTCCTGAAAGATGATGGCTTAAATGCAATGAGGTCAACCAGTGTTCTACCACCTGGTTTTGGTTATAACAGAATGTTAGATAAAACATAAAAGGAGCTAGTTATGTGTCTAGTTAGGAGGTCTCATTATGACTTCTATTAGTATCTTTTTCAATTAAAAATAGTTGAAACCCTTGTTTAACTGCACATCCCATCAGTAAAAAAATTGTAGCATGAACTCAAAAATAACATATTTAGATAGCATACATGAAATCATACATATAATTACATACAGATTATAAATTATGTTATGAAGTATATATAAAATATTATGTATGTAAATCTGAATAATCTGTTTATATATACATCACATATTAATAATACTTAATGTTTTTTAAAATAAAAAAGATGTTTTAATATGTTCACCTGATACTTCTGTGGATTATCTTGTATGCCCACACTTTAGAGACCACTAGTTCCTATAATCCCTAATCATCTAAGACACCATGAATAGTTAAAAATGTTGAGATTTTCCTTATTTTTCACTGGAATTCACATTTTTAACTTTTCAAGCAATATTTCATAAATCAGTTATTTGACACTAATTGGACAATCTAAGAACCCAACAACTTATATCACAGAATAACAGATGTCAAATAAATAGCTATTTATTCTTAGATGTATCCACTGTATTAAACATAATCAATTAATCTGTAGCCTCTATGTGAAATTAAATATACCTATTTGACACACTTGCATATTCTGATGTGTAAAACAATAACAACAAAATATTCAAAGGTTTTACTCCTAAAAATAAAGATTATTTGTATCACTTTTTAAAAGGTTCTCACCTACTGCATATAGGTACTTTCTTGCTTTCTTCCGAGGCCGAACTTTAGATGTCTGCAGAAAACTACAAAACTTGTTCTCTTTGGGAGATTTGCACACCTCACAGTACTCTTTCAAAAGTGTTTGCAATGCAACACGAAGATTAAAATCGGATACTCCTAAAGCAAGTTTGACAAGATACTGTTTTAATCAACTATTAAATAATATTGAAAAGACATGTTCCCATAAAGATAGAACACATTTATCAAAAAATAAAAACTCATCATCAGGCAATTGCGATTGTTTCCTACAATCCCAAATATTATTTTTCTCATTGTTACTAAAGAATATACTTTCCTTCAATCAAAAATTGTTTTTAACAATATGTTTCATAATATCTAATTTAAAAACACGTTTGAGGATTTCTAAACAAAGATGGCAAGGTAAAATAGGACCATGATTATCCAACAAAATGGAAAAATAAAATAGCCCAATATTCTATACTTATGACTTAATAACGAAAAGGTAGGGGTGCCTGGGTGGCTTAGTTGTTAGGTGTCTGCCTTCGGCTCAGGTCATGATCCCAGGGTCCTGGGATCGAGCCCCACATCGGGCTCCCTGCTTCGCAGGAAGCCTGCTTCTCCCTCTCCCACTCTCCTTGCTTGTGTTCTCTCTCTCGCTGTCTCTCTCTCTGTCAAATAAATAAATAAAATCTTAAACAAAACAAAACAAAAAGATATAAAATTATGTCATGTACTTTAAAAAAGAATAGTCAGGGCGCCTGGGTGGCTCAGTTGGTTAAGCGACTGCCTTCGGCTCAGGTCATGATCCTGGAGTCCCGGGATCGAGTCCCGCATCGGGCTCCCTGCTCGGCAGGGAGTCTGCTTCTCCCTCTGACCCTCCTCCCTCTCATGCTCTCTGTATCTCATTCTCTCTGTCTCAAATAAATAAATAAAATCTTTAAAAAAAAAATTAAAAAAAATAAAAATAAAAAAGGATAGTCAATGCAAGAAACAAAAGATTCCAGTGGGATGAGGTCCATCTCCTAAAACTTTGAGCATGATTGGGTATACTGTTCCTGCCCAAAGATGCTTAGCTGAGGTGAAATGGGGATGAAAGTCAACCTATGTCCACTTGGCAAGCTATAAGACCTGGCCTCTTTTTTTTTTTTTTTTTTTTAAGATTTTATATTTATTTGACAGAGAGAGACACAGAGGGAACACAAGCAGGGGGAGTGGGAGAGGGAGAAGCAGGCTCCCCACTGAGCAGGGAGCCCGATGCGGGGCTTGATCCCAGGACCCTGGGATCATGACCTGAGCCGAAGGCAGACACTTAATGACTGAGCCACCCAGGCGCCCCAAGACCTTGCCTCTTGAATGGGATTATTTTCTAATTTACACAAAGACACCATATATGCTAGCAAGGGACTGTCTCCAAGCTCTGTCCCTATATCCCAGAAGCAATATTGAGGAAACAAGGTCAATTAAACAAATATTGAGAATTCTCACTAATGACTAATAATTTGGAAAGGCAGAATGAGCAGGTAAGAGGTAGAACTGAGAAGTCAAACAAAAAACCATTTCAAGAAATCCTTTAAAGAACCATCAGTAAAGACAGAATCACCATGGCTTGCCATCTAACAGAGCACAGTACTAGCCAAAGTCCACACTAGTGAGACACATTCTTAGCTGGGTTAAGTAAGCCCTGACACAAGATCAGTAACAGGATCTCAGAGAAAGCTCAGAGCCCAGGTCCCTAAGCAAATATCTAAGCCTTAGCAGATCTCTGTTCTTCCACCACCTTCATACCTCAGGCTAGAAAGAAGTGGCGAGAACACAACACAGTCCTCAAATTTTAGCTGGAAGTTACATTAAGGTAGAAAGGGTGTCAAGGAGAATTAGCTTTGCATCATCAGAGTAATCTGGTTTGAAGAGAGTTGCCCATTTTATACATGAGCATTATATCAAGAAGTAACAATACAACTATTAAAATATATCCCAGGAAAAAGAAGAGAAAGAGACTGCAGAATTCATTCTGGAAGAAAACATTAGCCACAAACAGAAACAGACTTGCCATACATGCTTCACAGGATAAAATTACTTAAAAAGTTAGATCTGGGGCACCTGGCTGGCTCAGTTGGTAGAGCATGTGACTCTTGATCACAGGGTTATGAGTTCAAGCCCCACACTGGGCGTGGAGCCTATTTAAAATAAAAATTAAAAAAAAATATATAGATCCTATTAAAAAAAAAAGAGCTCAAAGGCAGAATGAGATGCCTTGCTAAGGAAACAAAGTGAGAACCTGAAATGATAGTATTACAGACTTAATAAATTAGAAACAAGAAACACAATAGATATGATGAAAAATCAAACCACCAATTTGGAGTAAAGACTTGAGAAAACAACTGTGAATACAGAACAAAAGAAAATATTTTAGGGGCGCCTGGGTGGCTCAGTCATTAAGCGTCTGCCTTTGGCTCAGGTCATGATCCCGGGGTCCTGAGATGGAGCCCCACGTCGGGCTCACTGCTCGGTGGGAAGCCTGCTTCTCCCTCTCCCACTCCCCCTGCTTGTGTTCCCTCTCTCGCTGTGTCTCTATCAAATAAATAAATAAAATCTTTTTAT